TGTACCTTACCTACGTATCTTTCTTAATAACTTTTTTTTATAATAAACCTATAAATTTACGTACTTTTCTTGATAATTTTTTTTAGTAATAAATCTACGTACCTTTCTTACTAACTTTTTTTAATAATAAATCTATGAAAACTGACTTTTTAATTATTAACTTTTTTTTAAGGTTATTTATGTACTTGCCTACGTATCTTTCTTAATAACTTTTTTTTATAATAAACCTATGAAAAATGACTTTTTAATTATTAACTTTTTTTAAAGCTTACCTACGTACATTTCTTAATAAATTTTTTTTTATTAATAAATTTATGAAAAATGACTTTTTAATTAATAACCTTTTTTACAGGACTTACGTACCTTTCTTAATAACTTTTTTTCGGTAATAAATTTATGGAAAATGACTTTTTAATTAATAACCTCTTTTTTAAAGGTTACTCACGTACCTTTCGTCCAGGCAATCCTGGGAAACCAGGTTCACCTTGCATCCCCTTTTCACCTTGCAAGCCATTGAGACCAGGAATACCAAAGTCACCCCTCTCCGCTGTGCCGTACGATGGTGGACCCGGTTCACCCACCATTCCTTTGGGCCCTGGCGCGCCCATTAAACCGGGGAATCCTCTAGGGCCCGGATCACCAGGCATTCCTGAATAAAATTCACATGTCGAATCATTCACGAATAATTTCAAGTAACTTCCTTCTCTTTACGTGCTCTTGTTTAAGTGTAATTTCGTACAGAGGTGTGGATTTGAATTCTGAAATCTTTTATACTTCGGTAATTTAGATAATTTTGAAATCTTACACTTTTATACTTTTATGCTTTAGGAAGGTAAAATAATCTCGAAGAATAAGTGGAGAACTTACCTGGTAAACCCATTCGACCGGGATCTCCGTCCAATCCCCTTTTACCTTTAGGCCCGTCGTAACCGGGCGGCCCAATCGGGCCTCGTTCACCCTTCACGCCATAGAAACCGTGAATACCGAGTGCCCCGGGTCTTCCCTTTAACCCCCAATCTCCTCGTGGTCCTTTCAAGCCATCCGGACCCATGTCACCTACCTCTCCCTAATAGAATTCAACGAATTAATCGCGTTGAAAATTTTTCTATCCAATTCAAACGAT